GGGTTTGGGGCTGGGATGGGTTTGGGGATGGGATGGGTTTGGGGATGAGGCTGGGATGGGTTTGGAGCTGGGATGGGTTTGGGGATGAGACCGGGATCGGTTTGGGGCTGGGATGGGTTTGGGGCTGGGATGGGTTTGGGGCTGCGATGTTGCGGTCGGCCAGGCTCGGCCGGGGTGGGGGGGGACGGGGACGGACAGATTCTCATCCCGCGCGGACGCACGCAGCACCGAGACCGAGCCAGAACGATCCCCCCATCCCTCCGTGTTGTCCCGCTGTGTTTCCCGTGCTGTTCCCGGTCCTCCCGCACCTCCCCGCTCTCGATCTCGCCGCTCACAGCCAGCAGGAACACGCTGGGCGCCGCCATGGCGGGCACGCCGGTTGCCCTGGCGACGGACGGGGCGGCGCAGCGGACAAACTTCCCCGGCGCCGCGCTTCGCTTCTTTTCGCGGGACTCCCGATCCGCAAAATCGCCCCCAAATCACCCCAAAATCGCTCCAAAATCGCCCCAAAAACGCTCCAAAATCGCCCAAAACGCGGCCACCCCCTCAAGGCACCCCAGGCAGATCCTACCCGCTCCCCTCAGCCCGCCCGGCGCTGCCCCATTATCCTCGCACCGCCACGTGTCCAGAACTTTATTTATTATTATTATTATTTCATAGATAAAAGCAACAGCAAGCTGGGACTCGGCCTGCCCAGGGGATGGGCACGGCCCCAAGGCTGCCAGATGGAGGGACAAGGCCCTGAGGGGTGCACAGGGCGGGGTTGTTGGGGTGTTGGGGCAGGGAAGGAGCTGGACGGGATCCCAGGATGGGCCGGCATGATTCCAGCTCGGGATATTCCCGATCCTGCCATTCATTCCTTGTGTGGAGCCCATGGCCGCTAGATGATGCTGCCGGCAAGGGCCAGAGCCGGGAGGAGTTAGCAGGGAGAAAGAGGGAAATGCTGGATTTTGTGCTCTTTGGAAGCTCAGCCCCACTGATGAGAAGAGGGGCTCTCCTCACCCTCAGCGCGGCGGTTTTTAATTCTGAATATCATGAGATATCCAGGAGATATCCATGAGATATCCATGAGATATCCATGAGATATCCATGAGATATCCAGGATATATCCAGGATATATCCAGGAGATACCCAGGAGATATCCATGAGATATTCAGGATATATCCAGGAGATATCCATGAGATATCCAGGAGATATCCAAGAGACATCCAGGAGATATCCAGGAGATATCCATGAGATATCCATGAGATATCCAGGAGACATCCAGGAGACATCCAAGAGATATCCAGGAGATACCCAGGAGATATCCAGGATATATCCAGGAGATATCCAGGAGATATCCAGGATATATCCAGGAGATATCCATGAGATATCCAGGAGATATCCAGGAGACATCCAAGAGATATCCAGGAGATATCCATGCCCTCCCACCGCTGGCTCTGGATGTGGGTGGGAAAAGGAGGCAACAGCACGGTGCTGCTTTAATTATCCCGCTGTAATTAAAAGCAAAGGGTGAGCTGGGTTTGTAAATAAGGGGGATTTAATGTATTGGGGCTTTGCAGGAGCTGAAATGGTGACTTGGTTTCCCCACAAAACCAGGGTGTGAGGGTGTGTGGGGCTGGCCCGGTGCTGGGACACTTCTGGACGCTCACATGGTGCTGACCCATTTTTTTTTTCCCTGGTTGTGCCAGGAAATTTGCTGCCCACACACACATCAACGCCATGGAGGCTTCCCCAGCCTGGCCACCGTCTGCCCTGGTTCATCCCTTCTCCTCTTTCCCAGTCCCTCTCCACGGGGAATTTTCGGGATATTTGCTTGTTGCCAGAGCCTCTGGGGAAGGCTGGGAGGAGTGAAGGAAGCCCCTGCACATTTCAGTAGATGTACTCTCTGTCAATACCTATTTCAATCCGGTTTTTCAGGCCAAATAAATTTGGCCAAGAGAAGAATGGGACAGCAAAGCAGGAGGGATGGCAGGGAATGCCTGAAATGATAGCCTTTCTCCACAGTCCTTCAGAAATGCTTCAGGGAAAATAATTCATTTGAACCGAAAATGATCAGGGCTTGGGGGGGAAGCAGAGCAGCTCTGGAGCAGCTGTCTGGAACAGCCAGTCAGGCTGTTTAATTAACACTCCACTTGGCTACCAGCTACCTTGGAGCCAATTTCAGGACATTTTTGTTGCCTGGCAGGTGATGTACAACTGCTGGAGGAGTTCTCCCAGCACTAGGAGACCTTCCCCATGGCAGAGAGACAGCAGGGGGGTTATTCAGCAGCCGTGAGTCATCTGTACCTGCATCTGGAAGGACTCTGTCCCCTCCCAGCCATAACAAGACCTTTTATTTTTCCTTTCCTTGCATGGCAGCCTTGTTTTAATTAGCTGTATTTTTAATCTTCGTGAGCAGAGTGAAATCCCAAGCAAGGAAGTGGTTTTATCCTGCTGGAAAACTTAATTAATGCTCCATCAGAGATTTTGATTTCCAAGCATGATGAAGATTTGTGGATGATGGTGACCCCATGGGTGTTATTTAGCGATGCTGCTGTTTCTCCTGGCCATTTAAAACGTTCTCCTCTTCTCCAGGATTTGTCCCAATCCTGTGATTTGTGGTGGGATTCATGGGAAGCCTCCCTGGGGTGTTTGGAGCCGCAGTCATCCTCACAGGGAGGAAGGACACGCTCCTGCTGATCACTGACTTGTCTCCATTTCCAGGCTGGATCCCAGCTCCCGGAGAAACATTCCCAGTGTCCCTTGAGCACGGAGCTCTATGCTGGAGGCACATCAAACAGCTGAGGGAATTATGTTTGCTTCATTCCCAGGAAGAGCCAGGGGCTGGAAAAATCCAAACTGCTGGGAGCTGTCACCGGGAGCTTCTGAATCCAACCCAGACACCATGACCTGCCCAGGCTGCCTGGCAGGAATTTCCAGGGAGGCTGGAGAGCTGTGGTGAGTCCTTTCCCTGGGTTTCCCCCTGGAATTGCCTCTGGCTGAGCCCTGGGGAGAGCAGCCAGGGGCTCTCCTCCCCCGGGGCAGAGCTGCCAGGCTGCAGTGCCAGCAGGGGATACCTGTGGGATGTGTCTGCTGCCCACCAGCCCAGCTCTGGGCTCATCCTCTCTCATTGCAGTAGGAGCAGCAGATCCCTGGAAAACAAGAGTGGAAAGACACCCAGTGCTGCAGGGAGGGAGCAGGAGCAGCTCCTTTGTCTCCATCACCTGCTCAAGCCCCATCAGCAGCCCCGGGGCTGATCCAGGGAAGGTGGGAGAGACACAAACACCGCCACAGTGGCACAGCACAGAAGTTTATTTCGAATCCCAAATATTTATGATCGACACCTGGTAAATGGCCAGCGAAATACATTTAATGGTGTCATTAATCTGCAATAAAGCCTTTGTATTTTTAGAGTTGTTTGCACAGCGTTGACTCATCCCTGCCTGCCAGGAGGCTGCAGGGAGCTTCCCTGCCCTTTGTCTTCCCTGCCTTTTGCTCCTGCTGCTCAAATCAAACAGGGGAGGAGTGGGATCTCACAGCAGCACACAGAGGGGGGCATTCCTGCTGTAATTCCTGCTGAATATGTTTACCTGGAGAATGAGTGTGGTGGGAATGCACCTGGGTGAAGCCAGCTGGGCTTTGTGTTATGGGGCTGAGTCCCAGAATGGTTTGTGTGAGAAGGGACCTTAAAGCTCATCCCATTCCATGGACACCTTCCACCATCCCAGCTTGCTGGCCAGCCTGTCCTTGGCCACTTCCTGGGATGATCCCTGTGTCCATGTGGCCACCAGCCCCATGCCAGGGGCCCTGCTGGCTACGGACATTCCCTGCCAAGGAGCTGTGAAGTGCCTGGTCTTCCCTGAAGAATTAATTTGTGTTGGAACTCGTTATCATTGGTGAGATTTCTTTTGGTTAATGAGCAAAATTAATTAATGAGCTAGTCAGAGTAAATTGACACGGAGGCAGGGAGGGGAGAGAGTGAGGAAGACCTGGGAAGATGGTGCCCAGCGGGACAATTGGATTTGATAAGGACATAAGGAATAAAAGCAGCGAGAGGAGGGGAGGGTAAGCAAGCTCCTTCTCCTGCCTGGCATGGAGCCCCCCTGCTTGTTGTCCAGTGGTGACTGCATTTTTTGGGAATAACTCCGGTGGGAACGCTGTTTTCCATGCATCCAACAGATCCTGCAGACGTGGCCACGGGCCCTCAGCAGCTTGTGTCTCCACATGGGGCAAAGCAGAATCAGAATGAGCTGCTCCAGGGGACTTCAATCAAATATTCAAATCACTAAGCTGGTTCTTCCCTGTGGTGTGACTTAATGAGGGTCGTTGGCATTTTCTCCCTTTCTTTGTGAACATTTATTTTTATTTTTTTATTTATTTATTATTTTTCATCCACAGCTGGAACAAACCAGCCCAACTCTGACCTACAAGTGAGGGTACACGAGTGAAGGGTCCTGGCATGAGGAGCAGCCCAAGCTGGGTATGGAACGCTCCTGGTGACGTCTCTGCATCACTGAATGCCAGGCAATCATGGAAAATTATAGAATACCCCGAGCTGGATGGGACCCACAGAATCATCGAGTGGTGCCCAAAATCCAGGGGGTGCATCAGTGCCAATGCACATCCCTCATCCCAAGCAGCCCCTCAGCGCCTTCCCAGCATCCAGAGAGGGGCTGGCCCCATGGAAAGGGCTAAACCAGCCTGTGGCAGCACCAGAATGCTGCAGGAGGATGGAGCACCCACCTGGTGTGAGCTGGAGTTATTCCAGGGGCTCAGCAGGTTCCAGCAGAGAGACACGAGCTGCTCAAAACCCAAACAGCCACCGAGATTTCAGCCCCTGTGGCTCTGTCAGGGTGTGCTGAAATTCCTAATTAAGCCCCCTCATCTGGAGGATGAGGTGGCCCCAGCCATTAAAACCCAGCCACGGCTTGAAAACTTAATAGGGGAAATTTAATGGATGAAGTCAATTGAATTATTCATCCCCAGAAAGCTTGTACAAATATCAAATGCTTATTAGCATTCATGCAACCTGTATGATCTCACAGCTCCGACAGATTAAGGTTGGGGCTAATTGCACCCAGGATGGCGTCAGATTTGGTGGTTGGTATTTTTTAAAGCTTTTTTTTTTCCTCCCCAGCATGACAAAGAGAATTTCAGATCGATGCCATCTGAGATTTACCCTTGAAGCAGAGGCCCTGTGATGGTTTCCTTCCTCAGCGTGGTGGTTTTTAATCCCTGTTTGATTCCTGCTCCTCAAAGGCTGCTGAGGTGGCTCTGGGCCAGCCCAGATGGACACAGCACCCATCCCTGAGGACTGTGGGTTTGCTGGAATGGAGAGTGGTGGGGCAGAGTCTGGCTGATAAATGGACAGGACTGAATGGCCATTAAAAA